CAACCTCTCTCTCTCAACCTCGTGATATTCACAGAAGCGCGCCCCATATCCACACCACACCTCTCCATCCCCACCAGAATCTCTCTTCTCTCCTCTTTCCTCTCAACTCAACTCATCAACGCCCCTCCCCCCTCCCCCAAAAAAAACCCCCCAATAACGCCCAAAATTGCTATTTACTCAGTCATCACAGCAATCCTCATCCCATCACATACAACCACACATATCCCGACAGGGGGGGAAAGCGGCATGAATACAAAAGCAAAACAATCCAACAAAATTCAAATTACCCCTCCGCGCAATTTAGCAGAGTGTTTATTTACTTTCTCGGCCGTCGGTCATTATAAGCGAACGAGCCCACTTCACATTTCCGCAATCCTGCTCGTGTCGGGATTAGCTAGCTACTGTACCCACCCATCTTATTATCATTCTTCCGTTCTTTTTACTCATTTCAATTGCTGCACTCCCAAAAAGTCTCTTTGTGGCTAGATGATACTGATAAAAAGTAAACGCAGTACGCGTAGTAAGATTTCCGAATTCTAGCAAAAAGGAATCATGGTATATATCTAGCTCCGAGAATGCACTGCTCGTTGATTTTATTATCTCATAAATCCCTTGCCTCATCCATTGCAATATTAAAGAAAAGCAATTGCATCTGCTCCACCAAAGCGACCCAAACAGCAAAGCTGCTCTTGAGAAGAAAGACCCCCAAACTAAGGCGTCGGAGTAGCAGCAGGTGCGCTTCCCTGATCGGTAGCCGTCCGCGTGACCGTCACACCGGTCGCCACGTACAGATTATACATCAGCGCGGCGCCGCACTTCTGGCCGGGATCACCTTTGCAGGTCATGGTGCAGGCCTTGGGACCGACCAAGCTGCTTGGGGCAGGCGTGGGCGCCCGCGTCGCCGCGTAGCATTCTCTCCCGTATTCCACGCCCGCGTATAGGAATGTCGTTGCGGGGACTGCAGAGAGACGGGCCAGGGCTGAGGAGATGCAGAGGTCGGGGGTCATTTCGTCGCTGGTGAAGAGCTTGGGCATGTTGTGGCCATGGTACGGGCCTCCGGAGGCATCGGAGTAGCAGCCCAGGGGAGCGAAGCCGCGGATTATAGGGGAGATTGGAGCCGCAGTTGCCGATGAACGTGTTGTGCTCGTGGGGTTCGATGGAGGAGGAGATGACGGTGCTGAGGAGGAAGAGGGTGATGGGCTCGAGGAGCTCGACAACGATTGACTGGAAGAACTGGGCTCCGAGATCGAGCGCAAAGACAGTGTTGGAGGTAAGGTCGATGAGGTATCTAAGGAGCTCGACGACTGATCGCTGGATTGGGAGGAGAACACGGCACCCAAATCATTATACATGGTCAATCGAGAAGAGCCACCACACTGAAAATGGATTAACATCGCGACCAGACGATCTAGTTACCAACTTACAATCTCAAGTGGATTCCCTTTGCAAGTCATGGAGCAAGAGCTCTCATCCGTCTTTACGCTTCCAGCGTTGAGTGTGAAGCCACAGTAACCTATCACGTAATCAGATGAGGGGGATCAATATCCAGCTGGCAATACTTACATTCTCGGTGATACTCAACCCCAAACCAATCATAGGCTTTACAGGTCTCAGCGCAAAGCTCAATTGTCATTGCGTCATTCGCAAGGCTTTTTGAAGACAATGCTCTACCCTTCGTTGCTTCAGTGTAACAACCTATGTAGGAGAAGGCGCCCACTGTCTTCACGATTACGGGCCCAGTCTGTGTTGGAGATGCAGATGACCTTGTGGAGGTGCTCGAGGGAGTTGACGATGAAGTGATAGATACGGATAAGGATGTACTGGACGCAGACGATGAGGTCGACCGGCTGATGCTGGGGGCTGTCGAAGTTATCTTGGAGGTGGCAGAGCTTGTTGAGCTCAAGGACGCAAGTGGCGGAGCATCAGGGATAGTATCTGGCCCGGGAGTGTAGCGTTGCCTATCATAAAAGACTGATATGAAAGTACCATCTCCCCCGCAGGCTTGTGTGACATCTCCAGGACAGCTCCAGCCACATTTCTTTGCACTCTCGGCAGTGTATTTGGTGAAGCTTGGGGGAGTATTTCCACAAAAGCACTCTGTATGATATTCCGTGCCTGCAAACAGGTATCCACCTGCAAAGCATTGGTTTTGACACCAACCATTCTCGTTTGTGGCCGATGTCAGCTTTTTCGTGAAGAGCCGTCCAGCGCCATCAAAGTAGCACCCTAGATACAGATATTGGGAAGATCCATTAGCGAGCAAAGGACCGACTTGCTCGGTGACAATGGTAGCCTTGATTGCAACATCATGGACGCCGAAGGTCACATCGCTGTGAAGGGATTAGCTCCCAAACTGGAACGGACAAAAGCATTGACTTACTCGGTATTCAGAATCCACACGTCGGAGACGGAATGATCCAGACGATTCACTCCAAGAGGTGCAGCCACAATTGATACCTGACCTAGCGCACAAGAGTTCACATCTATGAATTGGCCTTCGTGCAGATCCACAAGTGCATTAGGAGCAAGCAGCTCAGTGCCGACAGGTGGCTTACTTTTCGTGATGGCGAGAGCTGACCCGCCAGAATTACAGATACGAATATTCTCCGACTGGGTCGTTCCATCAAGAACGTTGCCAAAGTCCATGATCGGTGGCTCAGAAAAGTCCCAGCCGCCCTCAATTGTCGACACGGATATGTTCGCGACAGGAGAGGTCGACGCCGATGCTGAAACGATGATGTACTCCGACCCGCCCGTCGTCCAGAACTCTACGAATGTTGCATAGGTGCCCGTACTCGCAGCAGAGAATTTTACTGGCACGGTGATTGATCCGCCGCTCGCAAGACTGTCTCCGGCCTGTGGAAACTCTGCAGAGGTGAAGCCATTCCCCAGATCCCCATTGGTAACGTTCATCCATTGAATACTTCCCGTAACGGTTCCAGTCCATGCAGTACCAAGAAAGGTAAGTGCTTGCACCCCAACATTGGATAGAATGAGAGACGCTGTGAGCCCTGATGGAGCCCCAGCAGATCCAAGGACTAGACCACCAAGATCGAGCTCGGTAGGGGTAATCGTCAGGAAGGCAGTCTGGGAGACAACTCTACCCGTAAGCGATATCGGTAGCACAGTGCTATATTTTGCAACTCCGTTTGTTGTGAGAATGTTGAGACTTGTACTTTCGACGCCGGGAACGACTTTCCCAAACGACGCCTGCTGCGTATCGCTTATAGCCGCCTCTCTCAAGTCCCATGTCACAGGGAACGAAAAAGTTGCGCCCTGAGCTAAAGCGCCTTGGGGAAGAGTCGAGTTGTCACACTTCCAGTTCGAGTCTCCAGTGGTACACCCATTAATCTTGGTGATGGGAATGAGAGCCTGGCAAGTAACAGTCTTGGAAACGCTAGTCCCGATTGTCACATCCTGAAAGTCGATTGGGTCGGTACAGCTGAGAGGTAAGGCAACAGGCGATCCTAAACACATTACATTCCCGTTGTTGTCGCTGGTGTACAGTCTAGCGTCTCCGAATGCAGGTCTCTGAAATTTGTTGAGCCCACCCGTAGCAGCAATGGGTATAGGCTGCAGGACTCCGTTCACTGGGACAGCTTTGAAAGCCTGAAGACCCAGACTAGGATCAGAGATCCATAGTATACCGGTTCCGACCTGCCCTTTGAAGCTCGTTACTGTAGGGATTCCTACGAAAGTTAGAGAATATAACTTTTTCTTCGTGTGATAGAGATTGGCGTACCAACGCCCACCCTTCCTGCTGCAGGGCCAGTGGTCCGTCCTACCAGTGTGAAAGATGGGACCCCGTTGTTATTTAGGCCCATCTTGTAGCACACTGTAGCACCTCCCGTAGGTGTAAAATAGATGTAACCTCCTTCAAGCGGATATGACCCAACTCCAGCGAAGACGGTTCCTTGAGCTGTAATCGTTTGGAGGACATTGTCAGTCCCCCCTGGCCCTTGCTTGAACCCCCCTAGGTTGTTCGCATTCATGATACTGCCAGGGTTAGAGAGGAAGGATCTAGACCATTGGGAACTGCACCCACTAAGCTTTTGAATTCTTACCCAGGGTCACCGCCATTCTTGAAACCCCAGTTCCTTTGAACACAGTAGGATCCAAGAGCGTAACTCCTGATGAACCCAAGTCCCGGTCACCCGCATCCATCGAGATGTATTCATATGGCTCAAAATAGTCGGTGAGGCTGATCTTGCCCTGTGGTGATATTGTGAAGCTGCCCACAACTTCATCCAGAGTGGAAAGCGGCTGCCTACCTGAAGCACCTACATCACCGTTCGCGTGACCTTGACCGTTTCTATCTTGATTAGATTACATCCCCTCCGACCGAGTTTTCAAACTCACCCGGTTGCCAGGAAAATACGGTTACCATCCACAGCAAGGCCCATACCACCTGTAGATGAACGTCAGTATTCCTCCACCTGATTTTGTTGAAACTTGCGGACCTTGCCAGATGCCGGCCTTTCCTCCCTTCTCTATCAAAATATCACTCTGGACCGGAGGCGCACTGGGACCGGATTCCATAGCAAAAAGGGACGTCACGCCTATTCGATTTTAGCTCCAAAAATGAATACATGGGCAACTACATCATACCAACGCCAGGAGTGGTGCTCACTGCTACGATCATTCCGGTATAGTTGAAGAGATCGCAATGGCCCCCAAATCCACCTAGTACAACGCCATTGACCATCGCAAGAGCTGGTCTCTGCAAGACCGTGCCTCCGATAAAGTACCTGGAATGGTCAGCTTAACAGCATTAATCAATAGTTTTGCCCAAACCTTGTAGGATCATTGTCCGCATTGTGGCCGTCGATCAAGACAGGAAATCCAGGTCTATCTTGAAGTGTTTGTACATCAATGGCGTAGAATTTGTAGATACCTGGCTGACTGTAAGTAAAGCCCGAGCAACTCTCGAACAATCCTCACCGTTAGCAACGCCCCCACTGGCTGCTCCATTCTTGTAGCCTTTCGAGAAGAAGAACGCGGTGTTAGTATCAGGGTCTATGATAGGAGTGCCCTGTCAAAATGTCAGGAGGGAGATTGTATTCAGGTCAAGTCATAAGTATACCCACAATGACTCCTATGTAATCTGGGATATCTGTACATCCAATATCTTTCTGGAGAAACGGTGGCTGGACCGTCCGAGAGTTGAGGAGGGTCCCATTGATAGCATCGAGAGTTCTGATAATGTTCTGTGCCGACGCGAGGAATACAAGTTGAGTGGCTCCTGGAGGTGTATAAACAAGTGGCTTGGCATACCATCGTTCTTTGTTGCCATATGCGTTCTTCCACAAAATTCCAAAGATTGCGGAGCCAACGGTATTTGGGTGCATGTTGTGGTTGTCCAAATACCCAGATTGGGCAGGGTCAGCATCTTGAACCTGGTCGGTCGAAGCCAAAGCATACCCAAAGGTAGGCAGGATGGCCAAAACATAGGAAATCTGTATCCGCATCTTGAAACACTTCGGGTTGATGGATCTCCGATGGGGATCAACTGAAAGCACCCGGAGGAGAGAGATTGGAGCGGGGGATGACCAAACAAGAGAGAGGTCAAAAGAAGAGAAAAGAAGGACAGGAGGGGAAATGGTGGCTGATTGGATGTCTTTATAGAGCAATCAAATCTTCACTAGAAGGCAAGGGCTAAAATCAGTATGGGAATTCGTAGATGCATTGACGTATAGCACAACAGCAAGAGTTGGCTCAGAAATAGCCAGACCTGAAGTGACTGAAGCACATAGGATTCTATTTGTGAGAGTTTCCCGAATACGTTTGGTTTGAAGAGCGAACATTATCGAGGCTGGCTGTTGGAGCTGAATGCACTCGCTGACAGCTAGGGTCTGTGGCGTCGTCAGACACTATCAATAAATATTTTTTATTGGATTGACTTCCCTATTGGCAAACATGATAGATTCTGCGAGCTTTGAGATCCGAAAAGGGGACAGCGATAGCAAGGGAGGAAAAACGGGGCTTTTCCTACTTTGATCGGTCACAAAAGAATGCATTGTTTATTAGAAACTGAACCAAGTTGCATTTTTCCATCCGGCGTGGAATGCGGCTCCCAGGCACGCGTGAGCTAGAAAGTTCCGACAAGCTGCAGATGTCTTGAAATGAATTCTTTGCATGAATAGAGACGATAATCAATTGCCAGGGCTGCCACGATGTTACCACCGCCTCAATATTGCACTGCAATATTAGCGGATCTCAATATGCATGCACTGTGCCTGGATCTTTTCGGGTACCTGAGAAGCTCAATGGCTGCGTTGTACCCTTAGAATTGCGTTCGGGTCAGTCATCGGGTCGCGCAGCTTGGCGACATGTGGTAGAACAAGCGTGGCTGTCGAGCACGGATGATACTCCAGCTACTGGACCCAGCAGGAATACAGCATGATACGGGCCGTAGTGTAACTGACTACTTCTTTCCTCGAGTGCAACCGAGGCTTTTGGAAATAGATATATTTTCAAAGTTCCAATTACCTAAACAGGCATGCTTTTTCAACAAGATCTGAAGAGCAGTATGCCACGGAGATAGAGAGTGACAGGAAAACTGGTAGTAGGAGTCAGTATCAGGATTCGGACGAGTTTAAGGGGTGTGATGATCACTTCCTGAAATCAGCATCATGTCAAAAGAGGAATACCGATAGGCTCATTATCCCATATGATCATCCTCAATCCTCCGGACCGAAAGCTCCCACCACCAGCTTCGATCGTGGACAATTTCCCAAGGTTATCGACACAGCTCAGAGAGAGAGTAAAATGGCGGTACACTCTTGATTGAGACAGCTTTCCTCCCAGGGCCTTCTTGGAGCTCGGGCGACTCAGCTGAGGTGGAGCAGAAACGGAGCTTCTGTTCTCTGGAGTCCGACACATCAAGACTGATCTGGCGCGGTGTACCCCTATGGCATTACGGCGGGTGGCAAGCGTCCTTGCATCCAATGAAATGGAGGCAGCCATCAAATCGCAGTCTACAACGACCTACGATCATTCAGGCCCTTCGATCTTCCCCCGGTCGTCTTCATGCCGTCCTAGATTTACAGCCCTGCACCCGTAAACTTCGGAGAAACTGGCGGGATGTATTTCTATTATTTTCTCGTTTCGCAGATCAGATATATCTTTCTGCGAAGTTGATATGAAATTTTGCAGGCTGTCGACGGAACAAAGGAGGCCAGCTGGGACTTGACTTGATTACTCGAGGACGTCGAGGGGTCAATCGACCAGCAGAGATTTGAAATGGCGGAGCTGGCTTGCAGCTTGCGATTCGAGCGTCTTTTTGGATTCTGCTATTGCTGTTATTCGGTGGAACTTGGGAAGTCGTGAAGTTGGCTGAATTAGCGGAACGAAGTAGGGAAATCAAAATCGCGGTCGCGTCGAAGTCACCAATGCATGATTCACGTGACCTTGGGTAGACCCAGCTTGATAGGAAACATTCCTTGGCGAACCAACTTAGACTCCGACTACTTACCACCTACTTATCCTGACCAAGCCATTTTTTGCTTTAATCAAGTCTTCAGTCCTAGCATTCAATGCAGCATTTAAGGCAGACAGTATTGATATTGATATTGATACTATAAACGAGTATATGTACTACTTAAGGGGATGACATATCTCGGCATTTTTCAGATCTACTTGGTTCTCTGGAAGATAAAGTCTAGATTCTTCACTCGGCGTCCTTTTTTCTCAAAGGATTTTCAGATTTGCATGAAATCTGTGGGCTCATCTGTTTGATGCGATGCTTTGTGTCTTTGAGCTCACGTGTAGAGCTCATGTGTAGACTTAATACGCGGATTGTCGTTTGATGATTGAGGCGGAACCTGCAGCAATAGCTGCTTGTTGATTGATATCAATCAGTTTGCTACTTTCTGGCACTTAATACTTATAATCCGCACACTTGTTTTACTCGACCAAACTTACCCGTTTGCCATGTTTCCTGTGATGGCAAGACCTCTGCCATCAAAACGGCAAGAAAACCATTGAAAGTGGGCAGCCCTGTCTGTCTTTATATCCTATCATTGAATCACGCAAAGCATATCAAACAGGTTGCATGGACGGCGCTGCCCATCACGCACCTTCCCTTCTTGTCCAAAGTAAGATTACCCGCAAAATATACCGCATTGCATTCCTGCGAGCAATACCTAGGATAATGGATGTTTCAGATTCTACGACGTGCAACAGAGGTTCCTCGAAGCAGGAATCCCTCGGGCGGTCGTCAGCTCGGTTCGGTGTTAATTCCCAATGCGGCTTGCTTGTCCGAATCCGTGGAAGATGGCGGCAATGGCTGTGCTGCAACACTCCTAGCTTTGTGTACGACTTGGATGATTGCTACCGCTTTCTCATTCTTCGCTAACTTCAAGCTACTGCTCCTAAGTCCTGAAGTGTTGCAAAGCGTAACTGATCAAGTCACCGGATATATGCTTGGCCAAACAGAAAACCCATCTCAAGTTTTGATTGACCCGGAGCATCATGTCTGAAAACATCATCCTCGAGATAGCCCCTCTAGCAGCATGGAATCTCGGTGCCCTTCGGAAATGCAACGACAGGTTGCCTTTTTACCCGGCACATAAGCAGCGAAGAATAATGAGCGGCGCACTGAAATCGCTAATAGACCTAAGGAGGGAAATCACGCCGCCGAGCTTGACTTGAAGGGTAAAAGAAGTAGACAAAGACATCGACCGTCTCTTCGAACTCACGGCATTAGGGAACGGTTCTTTTGCAATTTCCACATTTGGGGCTACGCCAAATACCTCGGCCCTGTGTACAAAGGAATCAACCCGAGCCCTAGATTTCATGGAGTCAATGAATTTTTTCCCGTCGATAACCTACAACATAATTGCCGGTTCATGGCGTTCTCTGACCCCTTGGACAATTAACAGACTCTCGCACAGGCGATCGATCGGACGCGTAAACCGGCTTGGGCAGATCCGCGTGCAATAAATCTGCGTGCTGAAGAGCTAGGGCACATACGATAATATACTTCAAGGGGTGGCGGCCGACAAGGTGTATGATCAGATTGCGGGCAGCAGCAGCATTCGGATCAGCGAGAAAGGATATCGATAAGGTGATGCGCGGCCCTAGACGCGTGAGGGCCATCAGGGCCGAAGTAGAAGCAGGTCGGGGAAGTCGAAGGGTACACCCTTTGACCTTTACATAACGAAGCGGAGCGGCGCCGTGGTTGACCGGACACAGTAGTCGCGTACAAACAGTTAAGCGAGCCTCGGCCCACTCGGCTAAACAAACAACCATAATAAGAAAAAACGCAAAAAGATGCAAAACACAGCCGGGCGCTACGAGCCACGAGCTCGTAGCGCCCGGCTCAAAACCTAATTGAATAGGTTTTCCGGAATGGCGCACAACCGGCGGACGCGGTATGGCGATAGCTGAACGGCTTATAAGTTGAGCGGTGTTACCGCTCAGCCATCACCCCTCCACGCCCGCCGGTTGATGTAAGAAGAGTCAGAGCTTGCTTATGTAAAGCAGGTATGAATTTTTTTTGGTGGACTCGACTGGAAACGACCTATTGAATGATGTCATTGTATTCACTAAATATTAACGCCCGATATAGCTTAGTCGAAAAGTTGAACGAATTCAGGAGATGGATAGGCATAGGCTTAGGGCAATGTAGGGGCGGGGGTCTTAGGCAACGTTTGAAAATAGGTGTTCCTGAACATAGTACTAGTCACAAGTTGAGAGTACGAACCTCATCCTCTGTATTCTAAACCAATAAGAATTCTTCGACACTTTTCCGGGCCCCATCTTATGATGAACGCGTAGTTCTGTCACCTATTTGGCTAGTGATATGAAGGCATATTTGTTAGTGTTTTACAGCATCGGTACTTCTAAGGTCTCGAAGGCCATGATCGGCAAGCATATTTCGAGTGGGTCTCGATGCGGACAGTGCTGGAAGCCTTCTCCAGAAGACGGTCAAGCAGCAGATAGTATTACTTCTTCAGCGGATAACCATACCTATTTTAGCAATCGAAGGGGCGGGGGCGGGGGGTGAGAGGGTCATCCGGCTGTTTCCTAACTGGGTTGATATAAAGTAATTAAGTGCGTAGTCGATGAGGGTTATCTTATTTTATTTTCTGTTCTCGTACATGTCGATCTGTATTGCTGGCTTCCTTAGATAGCGAGTGATGGTATCTGTGAGATATATACCACCATGTTTTGTTTATACCCTTGACTTCCGATCCCAATAATGCCCAGTGATGTTCACTTTCTCGCGTAAGTCGTATGCCTGCCCAGTATTTCGTCTCAACACATTATGCAAGCAACACTTCCAACGCATGCAATGAGCCACGTATATCTCATGCTTTTTCTTAGCTGGACGCAAACTTTCAGGGTTCAGTAAGTTTTCAATCTCTCATAATCGTTGCAAACCCTTTCTACTTCCATGCAGCGCTAACAAAAAGAAAAGGCCTACGAAGTTTGCCCCTCATCCCCCTTTGCAAATGGGAATGGTATGGCAGCACCCTCTACCAAATCTTATTTATTATATACACCTTGGGAGTGCCCGGTCTGGAATGCCACCCTTCAATCTGCAACGACTGAGTCGGTGGTAAAGCGCGCCAGCCGCAAACATGAATCCTGGACACGTCGAGCCCCTTTTATCTGTTTCTAGACGATTTATCTGGTTGGACAAGTCACAGAATGGAGAGGAGCTTTTAAAGAAATATCATGACGTTTCTGGGAAATTGCAAAAGCTGTCGATGTTCAGAAAAAGAAGGTGAATATGGTGAAAGTGGTACTTATCCCTACTTCAAGGAAGGAGGCTGTGAATGGAGGAAGGTGGAAACGTAGTGCGTGCGGCGATGATATATGATACACTAATAAAACCTTTAGTTTGTATATAACTCCATGCGAATAATAGTGTGAAATACTGCTTTACTTTTTTTTTTTTTTTTTTTTTTGTAAATCACATATCTAAATCGTAAAACTTATGCGCATTAAATTCACAATGTATAGGCTGCTTGGAAGCATTCCACTTCCACGAGTTGTTTGTTTACTCCTGGTCGAGACTCCTTTAAAACGCGAGACCTCCCTGGCAGTACGGGATGACGTAATTAAAGATCAAGCAGTCTAGAGTAATCCAAAAAGCTAGTTCTCATTTCTGCAACCATCAACTCCTTAACGTTCAAGCAACCCTCCCTCCAACTATCTCAATACACAGCTGGAATAGCATCCAACATAGAAAATGGTCTCCCCGATCGTCAGAGCGACTATCCAGTCCTGCACCCTGAATGCGATCAGCAACCTCATGGCGCAGATGATCAGAGCATACCGAAGCAACGTCTGTCCCACATGCAGTAACTAAACTACAACTTCGCAGAATGCTAACAGCCTTCACAGTCATCCTACGCAATCCACTGGACTCCCGTTCTCCAGTTCGTCTTGTACAACGCCATAAACTGTCCGCCAAACTTCCTCTGGTACTAACTCCAACCCCTATCCTCCACCGCCTCTAATCTCCTCTCAGGGCATCTTTCCTCGAGGGAGTCTTCCCCTCCCAATATCTCGTCCCATCCAAATCTGCCACCAAAGCCGCCGCCACGAAAAACGAGAAGGAGCTCGACCGCGAAGGAAAGAAACCCGAGGTCCTCGAGTCCCGCCTCTCCATTAAGAACACGCTGGCCAAATTCGCCCTCGACCAGACCATCGGCGCCGCGATGAACACCTTCCTCTTCTCGCTGGTCTTCGCCGGGTTCCGCGGCGCGGGGTACGCCGAGGCGGTGCAGGCCGCGAAGGACAACTTTTGGCCGATGATCCGCGCGGGCTGGACGCTCTGGCCGGCCGTCAGCTTTGCGAATTTCGCCCTGATCAAGACGGTGCAGGGGCGGCAACTGCTCGGCAGCCTGGCGGGCATGGCGTGGGGGATCTATCTGAGCTTAACGCAGGGCTGAGGCTTTTTTTCTTCAGGAGGTTATTACACTGCGTTATTAAACTGCAGAATCGGCGTTGCTTTGCGAGTTCGGGATTCGGTTAAACTGCGTGGAGAACGGCGTTGCATTAGAGGCGAGGCGAGGCGTAGGAGCGAAGGCTATCTGATCTTTCAGAGACAATTTACCAGGCATGAAATCTCGAGATCCCGCAGCGCTCAGATGTGGATTCGGGTACCAGGACCCTGGCGTTGGAGTTGTAAGCTGTCCTGGGCGATTTATTACCTGTCGAAGGCATACCACATGGCGGGAGACTTATCTTATGAAGGGCTCAAACCAACAGATAAGTTTCGTCTTCCCACCTCTTGTCCTCTAATTCATAGATATTTCAGCATGCAGTGTCTATTCATTCTCACATTGTCATCCGTTCTGAAAAATCCCTTTATCCTCCGGACCGGAACCGGCTCGTTCGAATTCCACACGCCCGAGGCCTCGGCAAGCACAAAGAAAATGCGAAGGCTCAACTTCTTGTTCCCTTTCAAAAGTCCATATGCTTTTCTATTCGTGCTGTGCGATCGATCCCATTGTTCTTTTTCTGAAGGACAGCACAGTACAGTTACAGTACACGAAAAAAGAAAGCCAACCTTTTTTATTTCTCGTTTTGCATTTCTAGGAGGGGTTTTAATCTTTATACACAAGATATACACACACACACATATATATATACATATATACATTTATACCTCACCAGAAGACACTACTTACCCGCCAACCAAACCATGGCGTCAATCATCCCCGAAGAAGCCGCCACGCCTCGATCTAGAGGTGGAGGAGGGGGCGGCGCAGCATCTCCCAAGACGACCTCCTCCTCCTCCACCACCTCTACCAATCATCACCAGCAGAGGTCTTCCCGGATAGAGCATCTGCTGCAAGGCCTCGAGCAGGACGTCGCTGTCCTGGAGACGCGGACGCGGCGGCGGCATGCAGCAGAAGCAGAAGCAGTAGTAGCACGACGCTCGACAACGATCGCACCCCGATGGGTTGATGATGATGGTGATGATTATTACCCCCCGGGTTTTTCTTTCCCATCGCACGGCAGCTCGGCTCCGTTCTTGGAGAGGGTGGTTTCGATAGCAGATGCGAGTATGATCAGGTTTGGAGCTCGTGATGATAGAGACACGGGTAGGGGTATGGGTAGGTGTAGAGGTAGGGGTGAGGGCAAACAGAAGGCGGATGAAGATGAGGATGCAGACGAAGATGAGGATGTCTACGATCCCAACTCGCCGTTGCTGAAAACATATCCGGAAACGGGTTCCGGGCTGTTGTATAACGCAGATCGATCCTGGAGCCGTGCCGCCGAGCACGAGCACGAGCACGACGACATGGACCGGGTCTGGGAGGAGGGTGCGTTTGAGGAGGTTGATAGTGCGTTTGAAGAGGAGGTAGATGTCGCTGTCGATGTCGCTGTTGATGATGGAGGAGAGCAGCAGCGGCGGGATGATGGCGCCGTGGGCAAGAGCTCGGTGGGGTTCTGGGCGCAGATTGTTGATGTTAGATCGGGAAGTGGCGATTTACGGGGATGGGCTAGTGGAAGTACGCAGAGTGCGGAAAGGGCTTGCAGGCAGCCGCAGCAGGGAGAGTTGTTGTTGTCGAGGTTGGAAGTGAAACGGGATTGCGGATTCGAGATGGTCCGAGGGGGTTCGGGCACGACGGAGCAGTCGATGGTGAGGGATCCGGCTTTTGGGTCGGTGGCTGCTGGAGAGAGGGGCGGGGGTTTGGGAGGGTCCGACGGCGATGGGGATGGGGGACTGGTTTATAGTCCGGAGGTGGATGTGGATATGGATGATGGTGAGGATGAGGATGAGAATGAGGTCGAGATGCAAGATTGGGATGCGCATTCTTCTCACAGGGACGATGATTTTAAGCCGATGGGCAAACGTAATATGAATCCAGTGGTGGTCGACGGCGAGTGGGAAGATAGCGCTGGGGATGCCAGTGATCTTTTCGAGGAGGACGATATGCACGACGAAAATGAAGCTTCAGACGACAACCGCTTGGAATTCATCGAAGTTGAAGAAGCAAATCAGCAGCGTCCCAGCTCGCCACAGACACAGACACCCACACCAGGAATTCCAACACCATCGCAAACTTTGCAGTGGCCCTCGGACCGCAACACCCGCGCCCCCGGCAGCCACAGACCCGGCTCCATCCCCGACCTCACCCCCGACATTCCAGATTCCTCCCGCGGGGAATCCGGACATCGTCCAAGCTGGTCGGGACACGAGATCTCTTCCATCCCGGGACTCTCACTCGCGCGCTGCATCACGGAGGATGCGGAAGGTCCGGCAGTTAGGACGGAAAGCCGGCCGAGACGCGAGGGGCGCGGTGGTGCAGACGACGAGATGGTGTGTCCCGCGGGAAGGACAAGGGAAGAGGGTGCTGGGGGGTGGGAGGATGGCGACGATGATGGTGAGGGTGATAGTGATGGTGCTGTCTTTAAGGAGAGGGGAGAAGGTAGTATGGATGAGAGAGGTGGTGTTTTCGAGGAAGTGGACGAGGAGCATTAAGGTGAAGACAAAGATCAGGATGAGCTGGCAAATGAGACGAGACTACCCACGCAGAATTCCGCACTTCCGGCACGCTTCACGATCCCCGCGCAGGCAGCCGCAGAGCTAGAAGAAATCGATGCAGCTGAGAGAGGGGGCGACGAAGGTCCACTGCCATCGCAGCAGCAGGATTTCGAGGATGTGCGTGAGTATGAAATTGCAAAGGTGGACCAGGATCAGATTCTGAGGGAGCTGGATGGGGATGGGGATAGGGATAGGGGGATGAATAAGGCGGACATTCCATAAGGTCGATAATATTGAAGCGAAGGCTGCGAAGCTTTTGCTGAGAGACATGGGAAGACGGGTGATAAGGATAGTGGACATGGCGATGATGAATATAATGATAAGGGATTCTGATGGTTTGCTGTGCTTTGCTTTGCTGTTTTGTTGTAAGGTTGGGAACCTGAACCGATGAAGCTGTAAATGCGCGATTCTAGAAACTAGCATAAAATACGGATATGTTTTCTAGCCGGTGTAGAACGGATTGTTTGTCTTTACGCCGGGTGTGCGAGATGGTGGTAGAAGCTGGGAGGGTGAGGAGGGTAGCTGTTTTCTCGCTTAGCCCCCGGGGGAAAAAAAACAGATAATCAAAACACCAGCTCCAGAGAGTGAAGACAGGAGACAAGAGGATCGGAAGATCTCGCGGGGAGATCCAGGAGATAAGAGCATACCAGATGAGAGAAGATTTCAAAGACCTGCATATCAAACCTTGGGGAAAAGCGCGTGAGAAGAAGAGTCTGCGCATGGTGAATACGCGAGTGGATGAAATCAGCTTGGAGAAACTTCGGCGACGAAAACATTTACCACTATTGCCTCTTCTGCGGCGTCGGTTTTGCACGGCTCAGATAACTAGCTCTCTTATACTTCGATAATATGATGAAGCTTGTTCACCTCATTTCTCCTCGGCTCTTTTCTTCCTTCCTCCTACCTTGAGAATTCAGCCCGCCTGTAATATATAGGTATATGTAATATATATATATATATATATACATATATATTGTAATCCAAGGCATAGAGATAGACGATGTGAAAAAACTAAGACAGGGCTGTTCGCTCGATCTAGCCCTCTAAGAAAGTAGGAAAAGAAAATGATATCAAGAATATAAAAGAAGAGAAGAGCTGCTGTTCAAAGAAAACTGGCCGTTTCTGCGAGCAAGCAAGCAATCTAATACAATGTTAAGCTAAATGTGGATCCTGGCTAAAACCGTAAACTGTTAAGAATGTGGTCACTTAACCTACGGCCGTGACATTGATTACCTTAGGTGCATCCATTTGAGCTTGGGCCATCGAGAAACACCAAAAACTTGATTGATCGCTTGTTAAGAAGAAAAAAAAGGGAGTCTTGCGGGTATGACGGGCTAGATTTGCGTGTTTGCGATTAAACCCTCCGGTTATAAACTCTTTGACTTTCGAACACTTGATTAGTAGCTAAGTCATAGTAGAAAAATAAATGCTTAAAAGAACTGCTTGCTGCATCGCTTTGAAAAGGGCTATTGCTATAGATTATTGAAAACTCGAATGACAGCTGGCTGCAGCGGGTTGAAAAAGGCTATTGCTATAAATTAGATGCTCAAAAAACAGCTGCTTGCACCGGGCTGACAAGAGCTATTGCTATAAATTGGATGCTCGAAATGTGGCTGGCTGCATCGCGCGGATAAGGGCTATTTTGTAAGAAAAGGGCTATTGCTATAGATAAAATGCTCGAGAGATTGCTGGCTGCATCGCGCCAAAAGAAGCTATTATTATAGGTTATATCGCTAACATTGTACTGCGAGGTCCGCGGAAAACTTACCCTGGAGATTGCGGAGGACCGTAAGTTTCGGCTTGCGGCCGGGCTGAAGCGTTACTTTTTCTTTACATCTTTTACATCTTTTCAAAGCGAATTTCTTATTACAGTAAAAATTGATATAGCGTTAATGCGGAAGGCAGCCTTGCACCACGACCGGGGCGAAGCGAGGTCCCCTGGTTGCACATCCCCAAAAATCCTCGGAGCTTTGCCAGGATAATCAACCAAAGAAGATGGATACTATCCTCTCCCGATACCCGACATCGAAATCGCTGATATGCAATCAATGAATGGTATATGGTCGTGCACACACACACAAACTGCAGATCTACGGCGTAGAGACAGATTTCACCCGTGGCAGTTCGGTGCACGTGCGCTCAGGATAGACTTCCGAAAGCCTCCGCAATTGCCGCCGCCGGCATACGTCAAGATCACTACCGGCAGTGCGGAGATATTTTAAGATGATCATGGATGGTGGAGTGTGGGGTCTCATTATACCCTTTACAGAACGGTGGTGGCATTGTCGCTATCAAGCGAGCCAGGGCCGGCTAGCTAGCTAGCACTTAAATAGTCTAGGGTTATTATTCTAAGAAAATGATTACCGTACCGCCCATAACTCGATTGAAATGAAAGATATACAAAGTCCCAATATCTGCGTAACAATCTAGCTGATAATGAAAATGATTAGTGGAAAAGGCCAAGGAATGATTGTTCACATGTGACAGAACATTGCTTCCGATCGATAATGTGAAAAGATTCTTCGATTCGGAAAGCCGTCGATTTTATCCGTAAATATCCGTCCTAATTGAGAATTCATAAAAATGTCATGTACAAAAAAATAGGACCTTCGTTGGGGTTCACTATGCAGCTACTTACGGAGACCACATTTTTAGCAAGAAATGAATTTAGTAAGCTTTGCTCGCAAATTACTGCAACTCGGTAATGGTCAATAATCAATTGATCGAGAGCATGTCAATTAAGATATAAGCTATATTTGTCGCATATACGCTATTTATAAAGTATAATTTAACAATTCTGCCAGTTTTTGGCTGTGCCTGACAAGGAAGAAGGGCGGGTAGTACTGTAATTTACCTTTCGCACTTGCGTAAGGTGGGCCACCCTTACTCCTATCCTAAATTTGAGCCTCTTCAATCTCGGTTCAAATGAGCCCCCATGTGGTCGCTCAGAGCTTGGCTGGAGAAGTGGGCTGGCCGAGGGTTCCTGTTCTAGGTGCTCTGCTCAGCGGTAGGTATTCGCTGCGTGGTGGTCGAAGATATCGAGAATATAAAAATAAGTATATTGAGGTGATAAAAATATCTCGAGTATGTATGCATTTGTTTATATTTATCGACCGCGAAAGAGATTCAACGTAGATCCAATCTCAGGATTCCTTCTTAATCCCTCAAACTTCCTTCTCAATCAGCATTCGACATCGACACTCGACATCAACACTCGACATCGACGATACTCGACATCGACATTGACACTCGACACTTGACATCGACACTCAACATCAACTTCACTCATCATGAAGTACTCTCTTGTGTCCATCGCCCTCGCTGCGGAGGTCATTGTCCCTGCCACTGCCTTCCCCTTCGTCGTCAGTCAACCTGGTGTCGATTCGAGCCTGCTCGCCCGCCAGCAACCCGATGTTCTCCACGCCGGCGGTCTTCCCCCGTGTCCATACACACCGTGGTCGGATCACGTTCCCGCCGTAGGAATCTCCGAAAGGTTTCCATACAACGGTGCCAAGGATGGAAAGCCAGGAAAGGGTGTCGGGGGCTACCAGGTCCCGGCCGACGGCGACACAGACCACGAGTTCCGAAAGCCAGGTCCGGGTGATATCCGAGGCCCATGCCCAGGACTGAACGCTGCCGCCAACCACGGTTTCCTCGCCCGTGATGGGGTCACCACCTTCAACGAGCTCGTCGACGCTCAGCAGAACATGTACAACATGGGCCACGACCTGGCTGTGCTCCTGGCCTCTCTCAGTCTGATCACTCAGAGTGGTGATCAGGTCACCGAGCGCGTCTCCATCGGCTGCGATGCGACGAACCGCACCTCCCGCGACCCAGCCGTCACCGGCCCTCAGCCCGGTCTCAGCGGCCACAACAGAATCGAAGGCGACACGTCTCTCGCCCGCAACGACAACTACCTCGGCCACGGCGACAACGTCAGCTTTAACGGCACGCTCTTCAAGATGATGACCGACGTCACGGGCGGCGTCTACAACCGCGAAGGGATGGCCAAGTACCGCTACCTGCGCTACCAAGAGTCGCTCCGCGACAACCCCACATTCTACTTCGGCCCTCTTACCATGCTACTCTACGGCGCCGCGTCCTTCCTGTACGAAGTCATGCCCAGCGGCACAAACAACTACACCCCCGACAAGGCTACCATCATGACCTTTTTCGGCGTCACGCCCAGCGAGGACGGCAGTACCTACGTGTTCAACAACGACGAGAGGCTGCCCGCCAACTACACCAACCGCGTCGCGCCGTACGGCATCATAGACATCAACCGCGAGATCATCGCGCAGTACACAATGTTCCCGGTCCCGTTCCACGGAACGCCCGGGCCCGACGGCTTCGATATCACCAACCTCCGCAAGCCAATCGAGAACGGGAAGACGGCTCACAGATTAAGCCAAACCCAAAAATCAATCGCTGACAGCCTATCCCAAGTTTCAGTCCCGTGCATGCTGTATGAGCTCATGACCTTGAGCATTCCGACTGCGCGGCCCGGTGGCTTCCTTACCCCGGCTTTTGACAAGCTCACGTCCGTGATAACCTCGCTCACTTCGGATATGAAGAACTTTGGTTGTAATACCGCGCCTACCCAGTAGATTTGGTTATGGAGAAGGTATGAAAGATGATGGGGCTGGCATATTTAATGCTGCTGCTGCTGCTGCGGATCGCGCGGAGCTTCAGTCTGTTTGGTGTAATGGCATCGGTATTTTCTTGTGGCGTAATACCCCTGATGAAGAAGCGGGTGTCGGGTTGTTCCCGTTTTTTAAAAGCTCTCGATAATGGGTCGAACCTTGTATGGATATGCTGTAATGAGCCAAAAAAATATATATAATGAGAAAATTCAGCAAAAAAAATTACCTCCCTTCGTTTTCCAAGTCCCTGGGTCGCTCGCTCGACTGGTGACATATTTCGTCACCGACATGGCATCTGACAACTGATACCTTTGTTTCATTTCGATGGATCCTTGGTAATCGGTACGTACGTAATGATTGATACTTTACCTTACCTCACTTTCTTTCTTCCGTGGTAACTACTAGTTGTATATGGTAGTATACCGAGCGAGGAAATCGGGCCACAGCGATCGCATCGCGCTTTGGAGGGCTTTTATCGTCCGCTCGTGTGGGAATTTGAAGCTGGTGATTTTGAGGTTGAGCTGAGTGGACAGAGGATGTCGAAGTTGGGCTGAGGTTGTTGAAGTTGAGGTTGCAATGCACAAAATTCCGAAGCGCACCTAGCGTCGGCGTCGCGCTATGCATGCATGCATGCATAAAGCCTACCGCCACCAGCACGTGAGCAGAGTACACAACCACACTCTGTCGGTTGAGTTTGGATGCCCTTTTGGGAGGGGGGCTTGGCTTTTACCGAGCAAGAGAGATGGATACTCTTTATGTTAGATGACTTGACTTGTAATCCTATGCGGGTGCATATTTTCTGCTCTTTATCCCTCGTTTGGCGCTCGCAGCAGCACGGTACAGTCAGTAAGCGTAGTGATTACTCGAAGCATAAGATTGAAGTAGACTGATAGATAAAGATCCAGGTTTTCGCTCTACATAATGTCTACATAAGGGAACAAATTTTTAAAGTACGTATATTATCTAGCATCATATCGTATGAATGATATTGCCTTTATTATATCGATAGGGTTGTTCCATAGATTTGTTCATGGATAGAGGTAGTGCTAAGCGCAGTAGTAAGCGTCCTTTCCAAAAGCGAGGCTTGGCCAGCGAGGTATGCTGAGCAGATTATTTGCCGCTTCGATAGCTCGGGATCGAGGAGATGGGTCTTCGGTCGCAGGAAGAGGTTGCCTACTCCGTAAATATTGGCGGCGTTGGCCTGAAAAGGGGGCGGATGTATCGCTCGCTTGATCAAAATGCGTTGAGTTCTAGGAGTACGAGTAAGAGAGAAGCTTGGTGCATGTAAATAAAGCCATCTAGTTCAACACTTGCTTCTCGAGGGAGATGGTGGGAGGTTAAACAGCAGAAGTTGGGTTGAAGTGAAGGCAGGCAGCTCGGGAAAGTTAGAGAGGTCAGTAGTTAGAAATGAGGGCAAGATTTCTAGGCGATGATATGTTTGCGGGTGCCTTTACTGCTTGCTATCCACATCCAACATCTTTAAAATTCAATATGTCTTTGGATGAAAGGAAAGGGTGTCCAAAAGTGAATGTATCAATCACCCTTTCACCTTTACCAACACCAGCACTTCGCATTCACCCACAAGCGAAAAGAAAACAAGAAGAAAAAGATAACACCGACAAAACAAATCTTTCCGACCTTCATCCACCCTCTGTCTTACATCACAACCTGACACACCGACATTCGATCTGGTCTGTACCAAGATGTACAAACAAGATTCCCTCAAGCCGTCGCCGCTTAACCCCAACCGTGACGCCCCTAACAGCTTGGGCAGAGAGGACACGGGCGGCAATGAGAGCGACGCGTCTGACAGCTCAAGTGGTCTCGGGATTAATTTTTATGATAACCGCCGGGGTGGTCGACGCAGTGTTTGCTATGACAAGGAGGAAGCTGAGCAGAAAGACGTATGTATAAATCCTTGGCTGTAGCTTGAATGTTCCGGGCTGCGATCTCAAGACTGTTCCAGAGACCGAGATTCGAATATAGCAGAGCTAACTTTCCAGAACAGTATCAAGGCATCGCCGCTGTCTCTCAAGTTAAAGGCCCGCCGCAAGGAGCTGCAAGACGTCCATCAGGGGAGAGAGCGAAGCCCACCCATGACCACCTCCTCAACCCGCCCTCCGCGAGCACCCTTCTCCAACAAACCCCGCGCCTCGCCAACTTCGCTGCAAAGCTGATCCCCGAGCTCGGAAAGCCGTCGTCGGTGCTGCTTGACGAGCTGATCGAGGAGAACCTGAGAGGGCAAGCCGAGGACTTTGTACGCATTGCCAGCAGAGCGACGCCCGTGCGGGCCTTGTCGACGGCAGGCGTCCACTCACCACGCTCTGCCAGCAGAAGATCGGTTTCGGCGCCGGTAGCTCAGGGCCTGGGCCTTGACGTCCTAAGTGGAGGCGGTGGTGGCGTTGTACAGTTTATGGATGATGATGTGGAGACGTTGCATTTTCAGACCAGCCGCGGCATTATTGAAACAGCTCCACTGGCCCCCCTCTTCGAGAGCCCTTCATCGGCAAATCCAACGTTCGAGTCAACCTCAACCTCAACCTCAACATCAAAATCAACATCGACTTCAACGACGCAGACACAGATCCGCAAATTGAGCGCCAACTGGTCTAGTAGCCCGCACATTGGCAGTGTCACGGGCCCCAGATATCGCATCCAGAGCGCGAGAGAGTTGAGCGGGAAACGACTCGGCGGTGGTGCTGGCAGCGGATTCAGCCCTCATAGTTCTACGACCAAGATCAAGAACAGGAGTAGTAGTACCTCTTCTTCTTCTTATATTTCCAATTCGCCAAGTGGTCAAGGCCTTGCCATCGGCATTCCCGCGCCGGCGTTTAAAAACAAGCTTCGCATCCCCATCCACTCCAAGCCTTCTCCTGTCCAGGTCCAAAAGCGACCAGACCGGAGTTCAGAGCACCGGAATCGCGGCCCGGAGTGGTTCAGCCCCGAGGAACGTTTGGCCATTACAGAGCTGGTATTTGCTTCCAAGCTCAGCTGCGAGCACCACGTCAATTGCAGGACTTGCATCGAGCAGCAGTATTCGTACTACGAGAACAACGCCCTGCCGCCCACCATGGATCCCGACCAGAGACAGAAGATCATCAACCGGAACCGCAGTCTGAGGAACATCAAGAATGTACGTCTCTCTATCCTTTCCCCTGCTTACAATTGAGGGTTTATTGTATATCTAACAGCATATAAACAGGAACTCGAAGCCCTCGCTGAGACTGGTGCCATCAGCGATGAAGCCTACGATGCCATCATGAGCCACTTGCCCCAGGAATCCTCTCTCAACCGCGCAGCCTCAACACAAGCAGAAGCACAAGCTCCAGCACCTGTGCCTGCGCCAACCCCGTCTCCTGTCCCAACGGCAGCCTTCAACGCCCTCCAAGTCTCAGCAGACCCTCCCCCACCAGCCTACACCACACCCGCCCTCCCAAGCCGCGAACCCTCGGCGCCCCCGCCCAAACCCAAACCCGAAATCGCCAGAGCGACGGCCCTGTATCGCTACACCGAGCCCTCAGACTGCAACTTCGAGCCAGGTGACCAGATCGCCGTGCACGAGTACATGAACGCCGACTGGTGGCTCGGCAGGAACCTGCGCACCGGCAAGGAAGGCGTGTTCCCCGTCAACTACGTGCAGGTTCTGCCTGCGCAGCAGCAGCAGAACATGAACCCATACGGCGGCGCTTACCCCAACGAGAAGATGGGTGGTGGTGGATATCCCGGACAGTACAACCAACACCAGCCGCAGCAGATGGGCCCACCACCGGGGGCCGGACCCAGTAACCCTTACGACAGCAGCGTGCCTCCCATGGCAATCGCGGAGCAGCCAAGTGATGGTGGTAAGCAGCCGGGTAACAAAGGGTCCGAGATGGGCAAGAAGTTCGGCAAGAAGCTAGGCAACGCGGCGATCTTTGGGGCTGGGGCAACGATTGGTGGGAATATCGTGAACAGCATCTTTTAGATGTAGTTGTGGCTGGTTTTGAAGGGTTCGCGGGCTAGGAGTCTGGGACCATGGACTAGCTGACTGGCTTGCTTGCTTGCTTGCTGGTTATGGCTCCTACCCCTTTACTTGTCTGATACGACGGCGTTCCGGATCGATGGAGGGATTGAAGAGACATGTGTTACTATCGAAGGGGCTTTTTCGCTTGCATACATAGGAGCGTTTGAGTAGAGGTGGGTGGACGCCTCTTACTGCTTGTGCTTAAAGGGGAAGTCTTGCGTGCTGATATGGTCGGTCTGGATAATGTACTCTCCCTCACTTCAATTTACTTTTGCCTCTACTCTATGTTCGTGCAGAGTGAGGTTTGCCTGCCTGCTTGCTTGCTTGCTTGCTTGCTTGTATGCCTGCTTTTCGCTTGACGATAAGTAGTTGTCAATAGGAAAATTCAAGATAGTATGAGCAACTACCCGCGCTCTAGGGTACAGAATTCTAAAGGTAACTGATTAATGGCACGCACCACTCCCGTCATTCATTCATTCTTTTTTTCCGCTAGGCGCTATGCAATCCAAGCTTGATGCTGATATTGGTCCCGACATTCTAGTTGTACTCCATGGTTATTTCGACATTTCGGTGACTGGGCTGACTTCTTTACGATAGATGTGGTATAGATATACAGATGTAAAGGGAAGAGGATGAAGAAGAAGAGAATTCATTTTTGGGGGTGGGGTGGGGGGTTATTTTCTTCTTCTTCGGACTTCGTTTGGGGTTTGGCTTCTTCTCCGGGTTTTTGGGTTTTTTTTTTGAAAAGGATTGACTGACTGTGCTGCATGATGTGTCTAGCCAGCGTGTGAGTAGCAAGCAAGCAACGAGCTCCTGTCTTTGTTTTTAAATGATACGGTTATATTTCTTTGACGGGGTGTGTTTTGGTTTTTGATAGAGGGGTGTTGGTATTGGGGATTTACTTGTTTAACTATCGAGAAGGGGAAGTATGGGTATGGGAGGGATCGAGAGAGTGACGTAACCAAGTCTACCCCTCCGTAGGACCTGACTTTGAACTTTGTGCCTTTACTCACTTCACTTCAGATCATCCCACTTCAGCCTGCCTTGAAATTCAGTACCATCTTGGTTCCTTCAGCAAATAGAGTACCACAATAACAAACACTTCTGGTTTTCCTTTTTTTCTCCCGCTGGCAAAAAATTAGGCAAAGATGGCTCAGGCTCAACACGGACACAGCGCGGCGTGCTGCAGTATCCCTCCGATTGTCAGCAAGGGCTACGAGGGCAAGGGCCGCTGGGAGACGATTGCGGGCATGAAGACTTGTGCGTATTTCTCTCTTATTCTCCTCTCTTCTTTTATTTCTTCTTCTTTGCTGTGGTTCAAGATGCTAAGAGAAGATGGGATGGATGCACAGATGTTACTGGCCCTGCCGACGATAGCAAGGCGCTGCTGTACATCTACGATATCTTCGGCTTCTTCCCGCAGTCGATCCAGGGCGCCGATATCCTGTCTACCTCTGACAAGAACCAAAAGTACCAGGTGTTCATGCCGGACTGGTTTGAGGGCAACGCGGCAGATATCTCGGTGTGTCTCTCCTTCCCTACAACTCGCCAATCCGGGCCGATCCCTAGGATCTTCCAGCTCGTGCATCGCCATGGGCTAACAGCGTCTCTAGTGGTTACCTGCGGACACCGAAGAGAAGGGAAAGGCCTTGGGCAACTTCTTCCAAACGACCGGCGCGCCTCCCACGACCGCGAAGAAGATCCCGGGCTTCCTGAAGGAAATCGAGAAGCTGCACGCCGGCATCAACACCTGGGGTGTTGTCGGCTTCTGCTGGGGCGGTAAGATCGTTAGTCTAACGAGTGGAACCGACACGCCGTTCAAGGCCGCGGCGGAATGCCATCCTGCTAGTACGTTACTTTACTCTACCTCATTTTAGATACATTTTTTGGGTTCTCGGGAGAGAGATAACGTGATACACACGAATGGATGGCTAATGTATGCGTTGCGACAAAACAGTGGTTGATCCCTCCGAAGCCTCGGCCATCAAAATTCCGCTCTGCATGCTCGCCAGCAAGGACGAGCCCGCGTCGGACGTCGAGAAGTTCAAGCAGGGACTCAGCGGCGAGAAGCATGTCGAGATCTTTGGCGACCAGATCCATGGGTGGATGGCGGCGCGGGCGGATCTGGATGATGCGCGTGTCAAGGAGGAGTATGAGCGTGGGTATAGGACGCTGTTGGAGTTTTTCGCCAAGTACCTGTGAGTCCTTTGAGCTGGGCAGGAAAGTTACTCGGGCGATTGGTGCTGGGGGGTCGAGGGTTAGATGAGATGAATGCGGTGCGAAGCTTTAGTTGATGGGGATAATAGGTGGTAGCGATGATATTATGCACGACTAGGGAAGAGTTGATTGAGATTGGGATTTCACTCGCTTATTTACTCACTACCGAAATCGCAAGGAAATGAACAAAACATAAGAGAAAACATCATTCCTCCCAATTATTGCATTATGTAACCACAAAATTTTAAGTCTGTACTGGTATTCTTATCTGCCATTATGAACAAGTATTCAATCTAGGTAGGAATTCATCTTCATAATTCTGTCTCGCTTAACATGACAATCGTCGAAGCCTAACCAATTTCTCTTACAATTCATAACGACCATTATCCTTTTTTTTTTGTTCACTTTCTTTTTATCTCCTTCTTCTTATCTCCCTCACCTCCCTCCTTACCTGCCTACCTAGCCTCTCTCTCTCTCCATCAATCCATCCATCCATCCATCCATCAATCCATCCATCCATCCATTCATCCATCCATTCATCCATCCCTTTCTTCTCTCTCTCTCTCTCTCTCCACTCCTTCTTCTCTTCCTACCAAAAGAAAGAAGCCATCGCGGCCCGAGTACTTGATAACCTTTATTTAATTACGCATATCCTCCCATCTCCGTTCATCTCACTGCATATCCACCCCCTCCTAGCCTATCCACCCAACTCAACTCTATATCATTCAATGCCGTCTTCATCTCTATTTCCGTCCTTATCCGTTATCTAATTAACCACATCCCTATCTAGTTTTATTTGACTCCATCCTGGTCCGCTCCATCTCGCCGGCTTTCCGTTTGCCTTTCTATTCTATTACGCTTTTGGAGGGGAATGAATAGATGGATGGATGGATGGATGAATGAATGGAACGCACGTCATAGGGTGGAGATGGAATGAAATGCAATGAATGGGGTAAAGATGAATTACTTTTTTCTTCTTCTTCTTTTTTTACAAAAAATAAAATGGTATTGATTTTCTCTTACTGGCTGGCGACGACGGCGACCTCGGGCTCGTAGTAGATTGTCATGACGCCTTCGCTGCCGAGGGTTTTGACGTTTGTCTGTGGGGTGGGAAGAGAGAGGGGGGTGGGATGTTAGTGAGTGGAAGAATTTAAGCGAGGGGAGGAGGGGAGTTGGATGGATAAGGGGAGGAGGATGAAAGGATGGATTGGGGGGGGGGTTTACTCACCTTGAGCTTCTGATGCGCCTCGCACGCCTCGTCGTAGTACTTCATGTCGTCGAGGCTCCGGAACTCGCTCTTGGCCACGAGCGTGTAGCCCTGCGAGCGGGCGTCGGCGTAGGCGGGGCCGGCTTCGAGGGAGAGGATGTAGGGTTTGCCGTTCTGCAGGAGGAAATTCTTTAGAGAGAGAAGGATTTTTAGGGTGGGATTTGTCGGATTTTTGGGGATTTGTGTGATGATGTAGTAGAAGAAAGAGTCTGTAGACTAGGCACTAGCCAAGACGGAGGTATTATAGATGGAGGGATAGACGGATACATAGGGATATATTGATATATGGATATATCGAACCTCGGAAACGTCTTCTGCTTCTGGCAGAAAGGAGGGGTTGGTAAGAGATGAAAGGAGGGAAAGGAAAGGAGGAAGGAGAAGAGACTGATTTCAGACGTGCCTTGGTAGCTGTGGCTGCGAGCGTCTTGTAGCAGCCGAGCAGCTTCTGCTGGTTCTCGGCGAGGGGTATCTTGAACATTGTGACGCGGATTATCTTGGATGCCATGCTTGCTTGCTTGCTTGCTGCTTAGGCTCGGATTGCTTGAGGTGTTGAGGGGTGGGGTTTTGAGATTGTGAGCGGTTGTTGGTTTGGGATGGTACTGAATCTGAATGACAGCTTTTCGTTTCGAGTTGCTCTGCTTGAGCTTGATGTTTGATGTTATTGTTGATACTGAGGAAAACAAAGTGGAGGGATGAAGGAGCTTGAGGCATGAGTGGGATTTTTCACGGGATCCGAGGTGGTGAGCATAGAGTGGGGTCGGGGCTATACTAGACAAAAATCGGGTAGCGGTTTTTTATTCTGCTGTGATTTTTTTCCCCCTTCGCCTGTTATATTGTTTCTCTAAATTTTGGAAAGGGGATTTGAGCTTGAAAGTATAATATGAGAACGGGATTCCCGTCGAGGCGAGTTTCTTTCAGAATCGAAACCCGAAGGGCCCTTTGAACAACTAAACGTATGTTTTTGGGGAGGTTTTATGGAATCGCTGGCTGGACTCCTCCCAGGGTCCACTTGGTGAAAGCTTATAGGGCTGAAACTAGGTGCATACATTGAAAAGAGGGACCGATTTAACGGTTTTTTTCTGAATACAAAAGATGTGCATCGAGTTCCCACGGTAAAATTTTCAAAGCTCCACCGTAGCTATCGATTCGGTTGAGGAAAAGCTACGAAGTTGAAGTACTGTCTGTATAATACAGTCAGATCGGTACAAATTCCACCACTGGGTATCGATAAACGGGGAACCTTAAAAGGTCAAGGTGTTATTCAGAAGCGAACTTTCTTTGAGTTAGTATAGCAGGTCAGACGCTGCAGGTACAGTAGACCACGCGCTATTGGTACAGCGGATAAGGCGCTATTAGTACATCACCTTATGCGCTATTTGATCTTAGTATAGGCTTTCAGGCTTATATATAAAAAGTCCGTAGACCTCCCTCGTAGATCTTTAGACAACTCAATCACTTCTTGCTTTGTTGATTCCAGAGTGAATAACAAACAGGCGAGTCTATGCCAAGCAACCAGTAAGCGAATAGCGGGGTCTAGCGTGGTACTATCTTTAACCTCCGTACATCAATCACGACCTTTGACCTTCGGGCTTTGACTGGGACTCTGCCTGTTCACAAATTCTGTACCACTTTCTTGTCCACTATTCAACCTCATTCCCAACGGCCAGGACGGAGACTCGGTCGTCTGCAATCCACCGTACGACGTACAAGAATCAATTTATCATGGCGGCTATGGCAGGCGGATTGATAGACATCAGCAGGCCTGGCAAATACCCCATCGTGCTGAGTGATGCGCTGCTGGGCAAGACGTCCAAGGATATCTACACTGGTGTCAGATGTCCGTATTGCCTCACTCCCGGCCTGCACAAGAGACTGACAATAGGATTAGTTAACCACAAGCCCGATACATCATCATCCGACACCCCTTCGATCCACCTCCAACCCTCCGACTCCGACTCCGACCCTGCAAGCTACGACCTCTCCCTCAAAGACAACTCCGAGGAATACTCATACCAAGGCACGCGGACGTCGGGCGATGGTCAATATGTCCTCATATTTGACCCCGTCAAAGAACACTTTGTTATACATCGAATTGACTCGACATTTGAGATGAACATGGTCAGCACTCCATGGACCCAGAATACATCGAAGCTGCGATCACAATATCCCCAGCTGGAACCAGAGGTCAAGTCCCCAGCCCCACCAAAGAAGGCGTCAAAGGCCACAAAAAAAGATCCCACGAAGGCTGTGTTACCACGGAAGAAGGTCGAGAAAGCCAAGAAACCCAAACCTCCTGTCATTCGGGAACCTACACCAGAGCCACAGGAAGAGGAAGACTCAGACGATGGCCTCACCATCGAGTACCCCGAGGCGCCTACGAACTACCAACCCAAATCAACTCCTCTCTTCGATCGGCAGGTGAGCGATGAAGACGAAGATGCTGAAGGAGAGGATGACGACGAATTCGAGGAAGTGCAAGAATATAATCAGGACGTGGATCACTTGAAGCTGCCGAGCCCCGCGAACAATAATGCTGGACAATTGAGCGACGAGGACTTGGAGTTAGATCTCGAGGCCGAACTTGAGCAAGCTTTTAAGGATGGCGAGAGCAGTGAGAGTGAAGAGGAATGATGGGATGGTTATGGCTTTGGGCTCGATGTGGCGTTTTGGTCTTGCACATTTATCACCGTGATATTTTAAACCTATATCTGGATGGATCAAAGAGGCATCAGGCTGTTCAGGCTAGCAGTGCCTGGAAGTCTATGTCGGTGTTCGGGTGGGATACAATTACGATGTGCCATATTTGGCCATCAGAGAAAAGCATGCTGCTTTTGGGGATTCATAAGCCTGTATCTACCAATCTCTTTTAGATTTACTTGATTTTTAATCACTGGTGTCTTGATTGGACTTTCCCGGACGTTTTCTTCGCCCTATGGAATCAAATGGGTTTTCTACGTAGTCGGTCAGCTGTGTAACAGCATTCGCTCTTGTCATCTCATCGAGTTAGTTGTATAATACCTATAACAAATTATTAAGCGCGACTCGACGTGAGTGCGGGGGGCCCAGTACGGGTACTTCACCTAGCTCATTCTTTACGGAGTATTACTACTACTCGCAGCTGTATTAAAGTCGCTAGACGGATATTTGTAGTCTCCGCGTGAAGAGCGGATCGCCCTTTCTTTTCTTTCTCTTTTCTCTAGGGGTCCTCACTAGGGGTCATGCTGATTGATCTGATTGATTGATTGAATAGTTACTTGACTGAAAGATATGGTACGGTATGGTATAGATCTTCTTTGGGGGGGGGGAGAGGGGGGGAAGGAAAGAATTTGGTACTTCGCATATATATATATAAATATACCTTATATCAAGAGAACAGGCTACTACAGACTCTCCTTCTTATGCGATGCAAAACGGGGCTACAGAAATGCTGAGCCTGTACTTGTTTCATTTGTAGAGATTTGAAAGCGCGATTGTGATGAGGAGAGAGAAGAGAGAGAAGAAGATGAAAAGGGGAGGGGGGGGTTTCATTCAAGAAGTGATGAGATAGGATTGACGTTCGAAGAGAAGAGGCTCGACGATGGGACGACGAAGAGGCCGAGATAGTTAGATATCTTTACGGAGTCCGGACGGGATGTTGAAATTCGACGAAAGCAGCCGCTGCTGCAAATTCATTTACAGCCGTTACTGTGCACGATACGAGCGGGTAAGACGATTGATTCACTATCTATTGCACGGCTTACGAAGGATTCTGGCAGACGGCAGACGGCAGACGGCCGCGGGAGAGCGTTTGAGAAGCCATCACTCCGCTGAAAATTCTGAAGCTCGATCGATTTACCAAAGTCGGTTGCGGCATAGGGGTGGATACGAGAGCTAATTTTCAGTTGGAGGATATTTACCGCCCGCTACTTCGTATTTGCTCCAGTGGCGCTCAAATCCCGGCGATCTTTCTTTCTCTTTTTCGTTCGGTCGGTTTTTTCGCTTACTTGCACGGTATGCCTGTCGGAAGCGCAAGGCATGGTGTCTTTCGACACTGCGCTGGCAAATATATATAGGACAATAAGCTAGGAAGGGAATTGAAAGAAAGCTTTACGGAGTACAGCGACCGAAAAATAACGGATTTAGGAGAGCTGTTGTAAACGAAGGTGGAGTTGTTGTTGTTGTTGTTGTTGTTGTGTTTATTAACGCCAGGCGGGTGGTCGGTATGCCCGTCAGGGATAGGTCGTAGTCGGCGTGGTGGTCGAGATAAAGGAGAGGTCCGGAACCGTCGGGAAGCGAAAATCTTTCCGAAAAGTGGCCGCACAGCGATGATTCAATTCCGGCTCTCTAGACTATCTGCCGCAAGAGAGAGCTGGAGGTTCGTAAGAGGCATCTCGTACAGGTAAAGAATCGTAGCCTCCCGCCGGCGAGCAGGAGTCGAGGGGAAGAGCGTTAAATTGAGCTATATAAAAATAGATATTGAAGTTCCCCGAGATTGACTCGATTGAGAGCTTGAAAATCATATCATATTATGTCACGGTATCGCGAAGTGCGGAAAACGTACTCTTAGCTTGAGTTGCGAAGGGCCGTAAATTTTTGGATTTGTGGCCGGGCTGAAGCTTAGAACTATATTAGTCCTATAATTTACATCCTCTGTACATAGTTTTAGAACGGTTTAAGTAAGGTAGGTAGCTTTGACGCTCATAAATGCGACTATACAGCAAAGTCCGGAAAACTCACTTACCCCGTTAGCTGAAGTTGCGGAGGGCTGTAAGTCTTAGCTCCGTAGCCGGGGCTGAAGCTTGAAATCATACTATTCCCTCCCCATGAATACATGTCGAAAGTATAATTTCGCAAAGGATCTTACCAGGGCTTAAACCAATCAACTTATAGGAAATCAGCCTTGAAAGGTATATTTAGGTCGGTTTTTAGTCTGTGCCATGGAGTTGACAGGGCTTTGAGCCATTCAGAAATCACCGCTCTATGGTTTATGCAGTCAGAATGCGGATGGCACCTACAGTATCAAGTCTTTGCCTTGTCTTACGGGGAGGGACAGTGACAACACTGAAAACGACTGGGGGATTGTTGAGACTCTGACGACTCAGTACACACAGTCACTGTACCTCTTCGCCTGGTCTTGAGATCGATTCGATCCTTGACTCTTGACACCTCTCCGAAATGCCACCTCCAAAGGAAAAATGGCTTTGATCTAGATATCTCGTAAACCTCAGGGCTGGGCTGACTTTTTTTTGATTAAGGTATGGCTTTACCCTCGATCAAATCACGAAGGGCCCGGGTGACTGCTACAATGCCAACGGGAAAAAGCAGCTCGCTGATCCCTTTGGAGAATTTTTGCCGCTTGACAAAGACGCTCAGGTAAGTAAGTAGTAAGCATACATAAAATAAATAATCCCAGACCCTGATCTGAGAAGCGATCACTAATCACGCCGTGTCTTTAGTGCCTATTCAATGTCAGGGTGTGCACCCGTGATACCGTTTCCGAATACGGCAAAGGTAACGTTGAGCAATATGGCGAAAGCGGCACCTGGGACTAGATTCGAGGACAAAGCTACCTGAGCTTTTGCGGCATTACTTCGCCGGTATACTTTTGGAACCTTTTGAAAGCTTTTATTCAGTCGATCGTTTGGCACGTTGGAAAGCAGTAGCTCCTCGCTTGCCTAGGCGAAAGAAACCCTGTGGGTTCCTAGAGTCACGGCATAGCTCAGCTCAGGTCCAGCTTCGTGTTGCACTCTGGCAGTGGAAATGAATCCATTCTTCTTAGATATCATGTAGATATGTTTCTCTATTTAATGGCCTGATGGTCTTGCCTAAATGGATTTTCCCCAAAGAAATGTGTATATTGATACAGAGAAGCACTAACGAGATAGACTACCTAACATACTTACCCAACCCAACCCAAGGATAGCAGCACTCATGAAACAATCTGTCGTACTCCTCCGCCTCAATCAGGAACGAGATACGGGAAACGCATAGGGGAAACCCTCGAAGATGAAGCGCAAGGTCGACCTGCTGATCGGACAGAGCGCGCCCCCCGGCTCCCCCCTATTCGCCGGTCTGAGGCTCGCCGCGAAATTCGCCTGCACCTCATGGTGAGGCATGTCGACCATGAACAGGAACTCGAGATCTCGCTTGGCCCTGGTGCTGAGCAGGATCCGCATCCACAGCGGCATGGCGGGGAGGTCTTCTAACTCGTCAGCTTCGTCGTCGCCGTCGTCGTCATCGTCATCGTCGTCCCCCCGCGCGCCCTCTCCGCCGTGAACGGCGTGGCTGGGGGGAGGATTAGCAGGCGAGAAATAAGAAGGCTGGCCGAGTAGGAGCCGCATCTCTTCCACCGACATCTGCATGTTCGTTGAGAAGTTGAACAGGTTGTGGGCGTCCTCGTCGTCCTCGTCGGCAGAATCGCTCAGCGGCAGCGCAGGAGCAGGAACAGGGGCTCCGGGGTCCACGGTTCGTCGACACAAGGGGCAGTTGCCAGCTAGCTGGAGCCAATCCAAGATGCACTTTTCTCCAAAGAGATGTTGGCAGACGTTGAGCCGGACGGGCTGCTCACCCTCTTCGCCGCCCCCGCTCCACAGATCCGTCTTGCAGATGGCACAGTCGCGCTCCTCCCCGGGCTTGAGATCCCCGAGCCCAGCGACATGCGCGATGGCAGAGCGGAAGCGCTCCCGCTCGGCTCGCTCTCTGGCTCTCTCGGCCCGCCAGATGTGGAAGCGCATGTCGGCGTGCTCGATGGCCTTCTGGAGCTGCAGGATCAGCGCGCGCTCGGCGGTGCCCAGCGCCGCGGGCGTGTCCAGACGGCGCCAGAAGTCGCAGATGAGACGTCGCTGGATGCCGATCAGGAGCATCATCTCCGGCGGCGAATGGGCGGTCCCCACCGCGAAGATGGAGAGGCGCTCCGCCGAGTAGGTGGCCAGGTGCTGTTGCGCCCGGGCCCAGATCTTGGCCGTCGTGGCTTGTTGCGCGGCTCCGAAGACGAAACCGAACAGCTCCGGACCCTGGATCGGCTGTCCGCTGCTGGTCGGGATGGACGCGACGCGTGGATCCGGGAGCTGGAAGCACTCGGGACAGAAGAGGAGCATTGGGTAGCTCGTCGTGAAGATGGTCGTGTCCGCGCGACAGGGCGTCTGATCGCATGCGGTTGTTGTCAGAGAATGGCCACACTGTGGGTAGGTGGTGATGTGCAAGTAGCACATGATTTCGGTGAAATAACTAACCTTTCTGTGAGTGAAGGGAGTTTTTCCCCGTGCGGTGATGATCGGTGGTTTGCGAAGATGTTGCAGTGCTTGCAAATTTGCTGAAGAATTGTCTGTTCTGAAGATTTCAGAGCGCCCACTTGAGACTATTATGTAGTTGATATTCGAAGCTGTTTTTTTCTCAAACACAATCAGGCGAACAGTTGAACTTACGGCATCAATCAATCCTATTGATCTGTTCTCAGGCAGACAGACAATGCACGCTGGTTCATCACAGCCGTTGCAGTATAGAACAAAGAATTCATTCTTGTCCCTTGAAGAAGATTTGTTCTATAAGAGAGACAAAAGGACAGATATTAAGTCGAAACGAACAATGGATACAATGCCCATGAACAAATTCCTCGGAGCTATTGTGCACGAAATGAATGGACTGTTCCGCAGGGTATCGACGTCACATTTTCGAATGAGATCAAAGACATCTCTGACATCGACACGGTCCAAGATATCAGATCCGGATAAAATAGTTGAAACACTGACTTTGTTTGCTATGCTGATGGATGGTCGTCCCAACTCAAGCATAGCGTAACACCCGCAGCCGAGTCGGGAAAAAGCAGAATGAATAAACTTCAAATTTCGACGACTTTAATTCTGGTTCTTTGATTAAATTGCACGACGTAGGGATTCGAAAGTACGGCGCATCATAATGCAAGACACGCACCGGAGAAACATAATTGTGACAAAAGGAAGGAATGACATATGACTGCAGCGCATACCCGGCCGCGAGTTGAGTGAAATCTCTCGAGAATTCGCACCGAATATATATAAAAAAAGGAGGTAACTCACCTCATTAAAGTTATTAATGACAAAGATCGACGGGGGATCAATAAAAAGAGAGTATACAGCAACACGATTGATACCTTAACCTGTGCCTGGCCGAAAAGCGGCAGCGATGCTAATCTGGCTCGTCTGCCTGACCTGACCGTTCTTATTTGGCGGAAACCTCGCCTCATATCGCAGATCCCGGCCTTCGACGACAGGGACGAGATCATAGATGACTTCATAGTAAGCCTTGCGTCGCGCCGCACCGCGAGCGCCCCTCGCGGGCACTTTGGGCTGAATGCGGCCCTCGTCTCTGAGGAACGTCATGTCGACGATGATTCTCCCGACTTCCTGGGCTTCTGTCCGGCTTGTCAGTGAGTGACTTTGCATTTGCAAGACGCCGACTTCTTCTTGCGCTGAATACGTACGTCGGTTCACCTCGTGGTCCACGCCGTAGTGGGATTTGGTATCTTCGTCGTTGGCGTAGAGAATCTCCTCGCATCTGAACTTGTCGGCGTCGAGATCAAATGCATGGATACATTTAAACGGACTGTAACGAGATACTGGAGGAATGATATCTCCCTAGAAGGAGATCAATAAACGTCTTGAACATTCGGGGATTTGCGGCTCTTTGGCTCCTTTGAGGGGTGGGCTAACCTTGTGCAAAAAGTAGTCAATTACAGTGACGTAGGGGTTCTTGTCGAAACGATCGATAATGGGTTTGGTTTCCTTGTGGCCAGGAAGATCCACGCGCCTGGGTAGATATGGCTCGATCCGAAGAAAGCCGTAACTTGAGTAGGCCTGCCTGCGGGGGCCTTGGTCAAGATTCAATGCTCGCAGAGCGGCCCCAGCAGCTATTGCTGTGACACTGGGATTCCCATCAGCATTTTCTTTCGTAGACTGGAGGCAGGATCGCTCACCTCTCTTGCTCGTTGATCGTGATAAGCTCGACATCGTAGGGCAAATTCCGCTTCCGCGGAAACTCGGCGAGATATTCCCTCAAGTAACTGCGCAAAGAAGGAGCGGCTCCGAAACCACCTATTGGGCTAGTTAGAAAAATCGTTCAAGAGGACCAAGATACAAGAGTGATTATATAATCATGCTGAAGGTAGACGGGGTCACGACCCTAAGGCATTGAGTATTCAGGAAGAAAGATGTACCGACCTATTAGAAACACTTTCTGAGTATCGTTAGCAAGGTTTTCTTGATTGGTCGTATCTAGGCCTGGGAGTGAATACTTACCTTGATATTCGTGCCCTGAGACAAGGCACCTTCGAGCTGGTCTTCCAACACTCTGCTTGTGCGTTCCAACAAAGGCAAGAAAATCTTGATGTAATCATCTCTATGGCAAGCTATTAGCATTACACAACGGGAGCAGATGAGCGAGCGAAGCTAATTCATTTGCGTCACTTTGAAAACAAAACTCACTGTTTCATGAGTATGTAATTTCTTCGGAAGTTCTTGGGAGCAAGACCTTGAGTACGTCTGATATCATCCCCTTTCAAACCAGGGATTCTGACTTCACCCACTGGCCTCTTCGAAATGTCGATCTTTCTTTTCTGTCGGTCTTCGAACTCTGGTACTGCTAGCCTCACGATGTCTTCTCTGGTCTCACCATTGCAATCGAGATAATCTTCATCCTCGAGCCGTTCCAACAGCCTAGCTTCGAAAGCATCATTCAAATAGCTGGCCCCACAATTGTCTCCTGAATAATCGGTTAGAGAAAATCTTGGAAAGGATGCGTTGAGGTTACCAATAGGCTTTCCAACCTCTACATTCAGACGTAGCGGATAGCTATTGGTGACGGTATAAGTAACCCCATCCACCGTACCTATCGAAGACGATCCGCCAATTAACACTTAGAGTACCAAGTCGAGCATAGAAATGACCTACCTCCGCCGCAATCTAAAATAGTGAAGCTTTCACCAGCCTACTTTCGTCAGTGACGCATAAACAAATCGGAAATTTGCCTGTCCTGTATCCCACCCACTTACCAGCATCGTGTGAGAATTTCCTAACAAAAAAGTTGCTGCAGCCTCCGGCTCCGATACAATGAAGAGTTGTGCCAAAGTACCAAACTTCGTTCTATCGATCGCTTCTTGCATGGAGGCCTGGAAAATTCTCGAAGCTCGTGGCGACCAGATGATAGGAACCGTTATAGAGAATGACACGGGGCAGTCGTCGCTTAGATCCTCGAGCTCTATTAACTGTTGCCGTGTGTGGCTAAGAACATTAACAAGAAAATCCGCGATCACATCCTGGGCGTCATCCAGATTGACGCCATCCGTTTTACTATGTTTCCGAATAGTGCGTTTTCCGATGAGGAACTCTAGTTGAGGGCGAAGCATCTTGCGATCGCCCGCGGTGTGTTTGCTATCTACTAACATGAGTTTTGCTCGTTGAACGTGACCCCTGAATCACCAAGTTAGTCCGTCTCAACTAGAGTGTTTATATGTATCAAATTTATGGCTTTTGACGTAGTGGAAGGCAAGTACCACTCGTGATCTCTTTTCTTCTTACATTGTACCGCGTTCGATATTTGCAGCATACTTCTGATGCGTTGCTTCATAGCCCCAGAGGTGTCCTAGAGGCTCCTCGTAGCTTGAAGCAGAAAAGGCTCTGCTTCTGGAAACGGGATGGTTAATCGGCGCTTTGTCGTCGTCCTCGGATCCAGATTCGTCGCTATCGTGATTGGAAACTCTGAATATTGGAACAGGCGAGTAGAACTTGTGTACCAATGTGTCAATCAGCACAGTAGGAAGATGTCCGCTCCGTATGTACAAAGCAGAACCAAAAAGCTAGAGAATATTTTTAGATTTGTGAAACACTACTTACCATCTCGGTAGGCACTTGTGCCCTGGCTCCTCCATTGCCATCTTCAGGCCAATTGATCTTTACAAAAGCCAGGAGTCAGTATGTACAAGGCCAGGAGTTGAGTATTGAATCGGGATAAGGAAAGGCACTAGAATGGTGAGAGCACTATAGCAACAAGAATTCAAGTTTATCGGCTCTCTGAGTACATACTATATTCTTCACCTCCCTTGAAGAAAATCGTGGGGTTTTGTCATCAATTGCATGGACAACATAAGCGACTGAAGTAAAAGTGGTGCCATAGTCGAGCCCTATAACAAATTTGCGAGGCCTCTTTTTGGGGGGTTCCTGGCCCAGCTCGTCCTCGGCATGAATCAGCGTGGCACCCTCTTGTTGCCTGTGCGCTGGAATTGAAGCGGGCCGTTTTGGCTGTTGACTAAAGGTAGATCGCGATATCCCAGATGATCTGGCTTGGGCGGGCGTAATTACGCGTATGGTTTCCATGAGGAAGACAATGACTATCGTCGATGAGGTCGACGACAACAATGGACGTCAAGTGTATGGTTCGGGGAAGGTTTGGGGAGAAAGCAAGGAGGCTTGTTTTGCTGAAGAGGCTCCAAGGCGAAGACCCTTTGTTTACATTGGGTTTTCGCGTTTGTGTTGAGTTTTAGCCAAGCCGGGTAGCTTCAGGGGTAAGGGATGTAGCAAACCACTGAGAGAGCAAAGAAATTACGAGGATCCATATAAACCGAAAGCTAAGATGTATTTACGGTGTGTAAGGTATTTACAGTATTTACGGTATATACCTTACTCCATATAGGCACTCTTCCAGCCTTCAGCCTTCAGCCTTCAGCCTTCAGCCTTCAGCCTTCAGCCTCCAACCTTCAACCTTCAACATCGACCTCTCGTCCCTGTTGGGTACATATCGGCGTATCTCCTCGAACATGAAGCAGGTGTGGGAAGATGAGCATGACATTGCTTTTCTGGCATTTCTCGACTTTGCCTTAGAGCGTGGGCTCGACTACAAGTCCATCAGAACCCGTGTTATTCCCGTTATCGAGAAGCTTACTGGTACTACTTTTAATGAAAAGCAGATTTCAAGGCGCACCTCTACAATTTTAGGACGCGATAAATCTGACAGAAGCAACACGATAAAGTCTGATGGACTGAAAAAAACGGGCTCATCGTCGCTTCATGGTCTAAGCGATGAAATGCGGGGGAAAATACGTGCTCTGGTTGAGGATTTCCGGAAGCAGGAGATACAAGGAAGGTCAGATTCTGAGCATACTAATACCGCAACTCCGCGAGACAATAGTAAAAATTTTGCCCAAACCGGCCTTGAGAATCAACAAGTCCATCTTGAGGGTCCGTCCCAACGCAGTGATCAGGGCCCTCTGGAATCCGACCTGCGTCCGCCCAAGATTGTGCAAGCGACGACTTCACGGCCTAGCACTCCACCGATCGAAACACCACTGGCAGGTCGTCGGAATTCGACTGTCGATTCTGGACTGGTAGAGAAACATACTTCCAGCGAAACAGATGTGCTGTCATTGGCAGATGTGCGTAGAATGCACAAAGAGGTGGTGGCTCGGTTGAAGGCTGAGGTTACGGCCGTTCGAGCTCAGTGGCAGCGCGAAGTCGACAACTATATACAAGAAGCCAAGCGCCGTAGACGAATCGAGTCGGAACTTGAAGCTGAAAACACACATCTAAAGACAGCGCGCGAAGAGCGACAAAAAGCTGGGAGAGGCCCCTTGGAGGAAGCTCTGTTCAACAAGGACCAAGAAATATGGCTGTTGAAGCAATCAAACCACAAGATGAGAACATTGGCAGGTTTCGCTAGAAGAACTGAACCGAAAAGAAAGTCGTTGGAACAGAACGAGGTCAAAGACGCAATCAATGCAATGGAGACAGAGTTACAATCAATCCTGCATGGCCACGACTCATCTACTACCTTGCTGCACCCTGAATTTGGTATTGAAACTGATATGGCAAACCTCCTACGAGTTATGTTCCAGGAAGACACTGACAATATCGATTCACCTGGACAGCTGCTGAAAAAGTTGTTGGAGTGTGGTCCGCTGAAAGTCGTGCGAAGTTTCGCGGTAGCTGCCCTCTATGAATGGGTATTCGCCACGGACTTTCCGAGCTTCAGTAGCGATGAATCCCATCCTTTTCTCAAGGAATACCGGGATGCAGTCTTGATTCATGGTAACTTTCTCTCTCCGCTGGAATCTCCTTGTGTCTGCACTAGCACTAACTTGAATAGATGGCTGGACTTGTCTCCGCAATCTTGAGCTAGTAGCTTACAATTCTCTCATTGACAGCAATGAGTTCAGAAAGGCCACACTACCCAGACGGTCAGATGAGCTAGCTTCCCGTCTCTCCAAGGCACTGGCTCCGCTCTTTCCCCGGTCAACTGACGTAGAATCAAACGCAAGATTCGAGACCTGGGGTCAAGAACAGGATATTTGCGAAGACCGACGTTTTCGATTCACAGGGTTGTTCGATGCTGCTTTGCAATTAAAGGCAAGGACAGTAGCCACCGATGAAAGATATGAGTTTGTTGTCCACCCTCCTGGCACCTTAATCACCGAGCCAAGGACACATGACGCTCCGGATTTGCACTCAAAAGACAATACCTGCTCCTGGCTACAAGCTTCCTTGTATACCTACGTTGGAGATCCATCTGATCCACCTGATCTACTTGCGGATGCCCTAATTCAATCGAATAACTTCATCTCCAATATCAAAAACAAGCAGGCAAGAAAGCAATTTTTAGCAGAAACCAAGTTGGTGATTTCCGAGTCGGGTGATGCCGGAACAGATGTAATCGAGGATTCGAGGGAAAATTCGTTGGACGTAGAACTAATGAATCAATGGGCATACGCCCATGGTGCCATCTCATCGCCAAACGATGGTACGGCCCAAAAACGGCCAGATGAGGAGCTTGACCAAAGCCCCGCCAGCAAAAGAGTCAAGACCATACATCGAGCAGACGAGGAGTACGAGGCAGAAGAGTCTGATGATACCGAGGAGGCAATTTATTCGCCGCCTCGACCAAAGCTTACAAAGGCTGGCGCGAAGAAAGCCTCCAAGTCTTGTCCTAAATGTAATAGATCCTTCGCCAGTGCCGGAAATGCTACTCAACATATGCAAAAAAGTGAGTGCCACGCCCAAGCCAATATTGGAAGATCACTGGGCTCATTTCATTCCCCAAGGTGCCTGCGTGCTATGTGAAGTTTGCAAACAATATATGTCACGTCGAGCGCTCAAATCGCATGAACAAAAAGCACACCCCGACGATCCTAAAAGAAGCGGGAGTATTGGCTCCGACAACAATCCCGGGGACAATGCTCACAACGGCGCCAAAGATACGGATGCGGGTACGCCTTCAGTGGAAAAACCGAGTCGGTCACTAGCTACAACCACCGACGATACGGAAAGCGAATCTTATGAGACAGACATCGCAGATCCAAAAGCGGTCACATGTGAGTACTGTGGTAGCACATTTCAGTGCGAGGGGGATTATCGGCATCACTTAGACCAGGGTAAGATTTCCAAAAACCATCTAGACAATGATTGCTGACTCTGCTCCCTAGTGAGCTGTAAAGAACACCAAGATGCCGAGTCCGACCTCGCTAAAAAGATACCACAACGAAAAAACCCCGTGAGTAATGCTGCGCAGAACCCTGAAATAGCTTCTGTGGAGGAAAATATGGTACCTCAAATCTCGGCACAGACAAAGCAGGGAGTCTGTTCCATTGGTTGAAAGTAACAGTTTTTCCCTGCGAAACGGGGGAGAACTTAGTTTAACCTAGCTTAACCTACTCGGTGCCGGACTACAAACGAGTTGAAAAGCGTGGTGAGTCTCCTGTATTGCTGGCTGGCAATTTCCCGCTGATCATTTTCAGTCCAAAAAAATCTGCACATGGATTCTAGGCTCTGACAAAAACCCAATATTCTCAACTATGATCGCGCTGGCTGGCTGCATGCATGGCGTATTTTTAAAAAAACCCCTTCCAAAACGTTCAGCAGATCTCAGCAGAATGTCCATATCTTCTTCAAACATGAGCGCTCTAGTAAGTTGGCATATGCCAAGTACAAGATGCTCCTCCTGTATTTTTTTTAGCTAATGCGAGCTTGTTGTGAGTTTTAGCAACTACGCAGAATAGATCCGAAGCCAGGTCGAATGGCAGATACCTGGCCTCGACGAGGATTGACCACGTCTTTCGCACCCAGCAAAAGAACCTCGTCATCCGCGATTTGGGCCGCGAGAAGCCGCGGAGGTCCTGATGAGTTGGTCCGGGGGGTCGAGTCGAAGTCGAGCTTGACGCGGCTCGCTCGCCAGATAAGGGGTGGGGGGGAGCTCCGCGAGCCCGCGTGATGCGCGATACGCTGGTGTTCTGGGCTGATCTGATGAGACGAGATGATGCACGCCCATATTTCTGGACCGCTCGCGTTTTCGTACCTGATCGGACCGGTTCTCGGGCAGGTTGAGGAAGCAGTCAGTTTGGAGCAGTAGCAATCATGGAATCTCGTTTCATCTTTTGGAGCGGGGGGGGGGGGGGGGGGGGCAGCAAAATGCCGCAAACAGCTCCCCTGCTACATGTATGTGTTGGGCACCGAACGATGGATGAGTTGTCTCGCCCTTAGGCAAAGAGTGATCACAAGATGGATACACGATACTCAGCCAGTGACAGACACATGGGCGACGGACTTCTCCCTTTCCTGGTTCTTAACTGGGGGTGCAGAATAAGCGCAAGACGGAAGTGGCGGCTAGTCTGTTTATCGAAGGGGGTTCTGGGGCTGGAATGGCTTTGGAATGGAAAGGAGTATATTAGATCCATCAATGTGTATGAATGAGAGATTGCTGTCTTCATTCGGCTGTAAGGCTAAGTAAAAAAAAAAAAAAAAAAAA